CTTTCATAGCTTCACCATCTATAAGTAGCCGCTCTCAGCATTTTGGTGAACTTCTTTCCCATCTTTCATCAATGCAAAGGAATTTTCTTTTTAATTAATGTAGTCATGAATACACCAAACATACTGAAATATGTTTTGTTTTAAATTATAATGTATTATGATACCATTACATACAATTTATAAACATAATTTTAATAATTACATATTTTAATAATTTCATTTTCTATGATATAACCATTAATGTATAATAGCTCCTAGTTTTTTGCTACTATAAATAATGCTATCATGTACAATTTTGTGCATAATGCTTTTTCTCAATTGATAATTAGTTTCTTAGAGTAAATTTTAAAAACAGATGAATCTATTTATTTGTAAAACTATGTAAGGCATAGTACCAAGGACTTCCTAAGAATTATTCATTTAATCATAATAATCCAATAATATAGGCACTATTATTTTTCTCATTTTAGGGACAGAAAACTGATATATGGTAACTTAAATCACCACAGATTACACAGTTGATACATACTGTCAAACTACTTTCTATCCAATAACACTTCATGTACTGCAGCCTCTTATATTTACATAATTTTCTACTCCGTTACTTGTTAAAAATAGGCGGGAGGAGTTTTTTTTAGAGAAGGACATGCAGGCTTCAGTCTACTCTTTGCTGTGGGGCCATTTTGAGCTAAAAAAGAGACTTGACACACTGTAATCTATCTCATCTCTGAAGACCACATAGAAGATTTTTCATGACTCTGGTCAGTCATTTTGAAAGTTTCAAATCCTTAATTAGAATCAGTGAAGTGTGCCTTCGCCTAACCTAGTACTTTTTATTTTGACAGTACTGGGGTTTGAACTCAGGGCTTCATGCTTTACCACTTCAGCCATGCCCTGAGCCCAGCCAACCTAAAACTCTTGTTGCATTTACCCCCATTTCCTCCTGTTCTGCCTTATGAGAGACGGAGAACACCTGGTGACAATATTTCAGTATGAATATTTCCCAAGACCTCTTAAATCTCTCTTTTCAGTATTCTTTTGATTCAGTCCCCTTCCCATAACATAATTCTTTGTTTCAGGGATGATTTGATCAGCTTGTTGGCCAGTGATATGGTGTACATGCTTGTTTAGTAGTTCTTACTGTACTTCAATGTCTTCAATCAACTTCGTTTTATTTACTTTCCTTTTCTTATTTGTTCCTTTTCTTATTTTTGGAAACTTTAAAGTTACTAAAGAGATAAGGATAGGAAATCATGGCAAAAGAGCCTGAGGAAAAAAACCAAAATGATTAATGAGTGTGTTTAGATCTCAAAGTTTTCCCACATAGACCATAATAAATCCTTCTTTTTATTTTTTATTTTTGTGGTAGGGGGGGTTCAAACCCAGGACCTTGTGCATTCCAAGTAAGCATCTATACTAAGCTATATCCCCAACCCTAATAAATCATTCTTTACTGTAGATTTAGAACTACAAATTATTCAAAGAATTATAAATAACTACACTATTAACAATAAAGAAATGTGGATTCATGTGTGTGTGTGTCCTCAATTAAATGGAATGTTAATAGTATAACCTATCTTAGTAGGTTTTGGAATCTCTGTCCTAAGCACCTTGGTGTAGTGGGGTCAAACATCTGGGATTAGTCCTACCACTTTCATTTACTAGCTGTATGACCTTGTAGAAGTTACTTTAGCTCCTTGGGTATTTGTAAAATAGAGACAGAATCTATTTCATTAGGTTCTTATGAGTTAGATGTGATAATACATGATGATATATGCTCTGTAAACTATATGGGTAACTTTTAGCATTGATCTGTAGTAGTGTGAGAGATTTCATGTGAAGGATTGTATGTGTCAAGAAAGGCATCTTCTCTTACAGGAAGGATTCCAACATCAAATGTCATCCCTGAGCTAGCTCATCTTCAGGCCGCATGAGATCTCTCTTACCTGTTGCAGTGACTCTGTGACAGACAATTTCCAGTCACAGCAACAGAATGGGGTAAGACATGATTTCTCAAAGCTTGTCTCATTTTCTGTATTACCATAACATATGTATCCAGTGCCCAATGGAGGGATATTAGGTTATTTCCAGGGCAAAAACGACAGTGGGATCAGAATTGATTCCCTTCTAAAAATATCCTTAGACTTTTAGGTAGAAATTCTGGCCTTCTTCTTATAGGCAGAGGTAGAACCACAAAGAGAAGGGTAAAGATGCACTCTGTTTCCAGAAATGACTGTTGAAAATAAAAATTCTACCCATTCATTTTTATTCCAGTGGTAAACTAGAGCCAGTTGTACCAGTTCTCAAGAGCAAGTTGCTAAATTTCCAGGAATTTTGAAAACTGGTTGTTAAACATGGTCATTATTAACAAATTATGTATACTTACAACTAAATATACTATTTATTACAAAAGTTTTGCTTTCTAATTTTGTCATTATTTTTTACTATTGTCTATGCTTTTTTATTTATGTCTATTGTATCCATATGGTAGGAAAGTAATTTATAGTGACTTAATAAATATCTCTTTCTAACTAGGGGTGTGAAACTAGTAGTACAGAACATTTACACCATAAAAAGTAACAGATCTACAAATAAGGTGACCCTCGCAGAGTCATTTGTTAAGCACTTGCCACACACCACTCCTTTAATTCATTTGTCTTAATGCTTCAGCTAGCACTGATGCTGGCATCCAAAAGCCTAAAGCAGTGTGATGAAGAAGTTGACAATGAAACGTCTGGAATCAGCCCCAGGTTTAGCTTGAGCTTCACTACTGACTATATGAACGTGGGCAAGTTACTGACCCTATTCTGTGTATCTGTAAAGCAAGGACAAAAAAAGGCCACCTGCCATGTAGGATTGTTGTGGGGCTTAAAGGAGCTACTACTTACATGTTGAACAAACAATACCTAGCACATAGTTTTTACAAGTATTTTGATTTAAATAAATGTTTTCATTACGATGTGGAAGCATCTTTCTAGTTCTCTTTGACTAAGAATTTTTAAAAATCAGATATTCTTTCTGTTTTGGGGGGATCAGTTATGGGGTTTGACATCAGGGCCTCGTGCATGTAGACAAGCACTCTACCATCTGAGCCGCTCTGCCAGTACTAAAATCAGATATTAATATCAAATTCTTTTCACTTTTTGGCAGTACTGGAGTTTGAACTCAGGGCCTTGTGCTTGGTAGACAGCCACTCTACTGCTTGAGCCATGCCACCAGGCCTTAATGTTAAATTTTCCCAAGTGCCTCTTTAATGTCCATGTAATTGATTACAAGTGCCTAATTTCCCATATACTAATAGCAAGTGTACTAGTAGGATTGTCCGTACTAGAAGGACCTTAAATCTCAACAATGAGTTTTACTTGGTCATGAGTCATTCTTCTTTGAATATATTGCTGAATTCTATTTGCTAACAATTCATTTTACCTATTTCAGCATCATAATCAATTATCTTGTTAATAGTTCTTTTGTGTACTTTTTCAGGTGTTGGTCATAATAGTTTAAGGACTTTGTGAAAATAATCAAACAAATTTTATTTTTTCTGTTCCTGCAAAGAGTTTCAGTAACCTTGGAAAACATCTGAAAATTGCTACAAGATTAGAAAGAACTTACCTATGGACCTGTGATGTCCTATAGCTATTTTGCACCATAGCGCTTTGTCCTCTTCCTCCATGTTAGTGGTTCTCAGGTTCAACTGCACATTAGAATCACCTAGAAAGTTTTAAAAAAAAACTGATGTATATGTTATTAGTTTGATTTAACTATTCTACAAAGTAAACATGTATCAAAACATCACTTTGTGTATCATAAATGTAATTATTATTTGTCAACTAAATTTTTAAAAATATTAGTGACTAAATCCCTGCAAATACTCTCTGTTTTAATGGTCTAGTATGCATCCTGGATATAGGACTATTTTTAAACTCTCCAAGAAACAGTAATGTGAAGGTTCAGAACTACTGCATAACACATTATACTCAGGATATTTATTCAATGTAGTCTCTACCTTTTCATCAATGAATTTTAGTGATTTATATTAACCTAAATAATTATGTTTCTTCCAGATTTTCAACTGGTTATGATAGAATTTTGCAAAGCCCTATTGCATAATTACGTTTTTCTTTGGGTCCAGTCCTACTCATTGAGTTACACAGGAAAAGTAAATTCTCTCTTCTAGAGAGGATATCTGTTAACATTTTCAAGAGGTCTCTCAGATTCTCCATGTGTTCCCTTTCAAGTTTCCTTCAGTGATTTGTCACATGGTCTCTAGATCCTTCACCATGTTTGGCTCTGAACAAATCCCACCAATGGATAGTCATTGGTGGGATTCAAAATAGAAAGCCCTACAAAATAACAGAAATAGTAAAAAAGATGGGGCATGGTGGTAGGTGGGGAGGAAGGAAAAATAGGCAAGCACTGTAGCTTCGTGTGTCTGTGAAATTACCCTGGAGGATATTAGAATGGCCAACATATCATCATACATTTGTGTAAACTCAAGAAATGTATGACACCACGAGTGAACTCTTGTGTAAAGTACAAATGTTGACCAAGATGTGTCAGTATAGGTTCAGCAGCTATAACAAATGTACCACTGTGCCATGGGGTTTTTCATAGTAGGGGAGGTAGTGCATGTGATAGAAAAGGGGATCAGGGTACTTTGTACTTTGAATTCAATTTTCCTGTGAATCTAAAATGGATCTAAAATATAAAAATCTGTTTAAAATATTGCAGGACAGGATACAATATTTCAAGAGCAACCTGGTTGACACAAAGTATAGTAAACCATCCTTGGTTTATAATATGGTTCCACTATTGCAAACCTTGAAAAATGCTGCATTTTGTACTGGTGACACTGTCATCTCATACAGTTTAATGGAATTTTCATTTACAGTCTTTTATGGTCACTTGGATGTGAGCTGTTTTTATAGAAGTGGGTTGCCCAAAGTAGCTCCTTTATACCTAAACTGCCTGTACTTTTCTTGTCCTCCCTCCTGGATCAGGGCCAAGACAGTGGACTCAAGGAACAGTAGTACAGTGACAGAGTTCATCCTTGTAGGATTTGAGCAGAGCTCCCCTTCCACTCAGGCATTGCTCTTCACCCTCTTCTTGGTCCTCTACAGCCTCGCCATGGCCATGAATGGCCTCATCATCTTCATCACATGGACAGACCCGAGACTCAACAGCCCCATGTACTTCTTCCTTGGCCACCTATCGTTCCTGGATGTCTGCTTCATCACCACCACCATCCCACAGATGTTGGTCCATCTGGTGGTCAGGAGCCACACTGTCTCCTTCACCTCCTGTTTGACACAAATGTATCTGGTTTTTGGTGTGGGTGTGGCTGAGTGTATCCTCTTGGCTTTTATGGCCTATGACCGTTATGTTGCTATTGCCACTCACTTAACTATGCCCAGATCATGAGCCGGCAGGTCTGTGTCAGTCTAGTGGGTACTTCCTGGATCTTTGGGATGGTCAATGGCATACTCCTTGATTACATGACATTTCGAGGTCCATTCTGTAAAGACAACCACATTGAAAACTTCTTCTGTGAAGCTCCCATAGTGATCTCCCTCTCCTGTGGGGACCAACAGTTTAGTCTGCTGGTGATCTTTGCTGATGCCATTGTGGTGCTACTCAGCCCAATGGTGCTCATTGTCACCTCTTATGCCCGCATTCTGGCCTCTATCCTCAGCAGAGCCTCCTCTTCAGGTCGGGGGAAGACCTTCTCCACTTGTGCCTCCCACCTGACTGTGGTCACCTTTTTCTACATCTCGGCTATGTTCTCATACATGAATCCCCGCAGCACACATGGGCCTGACAAGGACAAGCCTTTCTCCCTCCTTACACCATCATCACCCCCATGTGCAACCCTATCATCTACAGTTTCCGCAATAAGGAAATGAAGGGGGCCATGAGGAGGGCCCTTGGGAGAACCAGCCTGGCCCAGGCAGAGTCTGTCTAGCAGGAAGGCCCCTGGAGAAGAAGCTCCTTTCCCCATAGTGGGGAAGGTTTCCCCTTCCCAGCCTTGACAGGAGAGTAACTCTCCAGCACCGAAAGACTCCAGGAAAGAATATTCATGGATTCTTTGACACCAGACTCAAACCTGGAAGTTCCTCCAATGTCTAAGTCACATTTGTCTGACTTCACTTCTAGCATAGCTTGATCCTCTCAGTCTTTTAATAACATGTTTTCATGATTGGAAGGACAAGTCCAATGCAATGGAGTTTATATCATAAGTTAAGAAAAGCAGGCGTGCTTTTCAAGAGAAAGTGATTGAAGAAGAAAAGCAGATCATGATTTTGAGACCATTATTTAGGGGAAAAGTCAATTAGTAGGAGTTTTGGCTTTCAAAAGAGGTAAATTGAAAACCACAAGTGGATGTATGGATCTAGTAGGTTGGAGAAATATGCTAAGAAACATGTGATTCCATCTCTGAATGGTAGTCCCAATGTTCTTTGGTTGTGTTTCCAGGAAAAACAAAACCCAAGAATTTATCAATGGGTTTGTATTACTTGCCAAAGCTACCAAGTGGAGGTATTATATGCCAAGTAGGTGTGGATTGAAGTTGAACAGAGAGGAAAGAGAACAGAAAGTCTGAAATAACCAACTTCCCCAGGTGGTATACTGGGGGTTTGAACTACAAAAAAAAAAATGTCTTAGGCAAGGAAATCTTTGAATTATATCTGCATTATACAAGATTAGAATAAGAGTATCTTTACTTTTTTGTTTATTTATTTGGAAATACATTGAATTTATTGTTATTGCTTGAGACATGGTCTCTAACTTGTGATCCTCCTGCCTTAGCTTCCCCAAGTACTGGGATTGCAGGTGTGTACCACCATGTCTGATTCCAACTGAAAATTTTGTTATTAGCCTGGATATACATTTTATAATTTAAATTTATAATTTTTAATACTTCTTCTTGTGTCTTGTTTTACTTGCAATACACTCACTTTCCCTGAGACTCTAGTCACATCTCTAATTTCATTCTCCCCTCCTTCTATTCCTTTTTCTATGGTCTAAAGAAATGGCTCGCAACCAGGGACAGCAAGATACCTGGGGTTATTTGGCAATGTCTGCAGACATTTTTGTGATCCAACTAAAGGAGAGTATATGCTACAGTCATCTGTTTAGCAGGGGAACTGTCAAACATCCTAAAATATACTAGATAGTGTATTATGCAGCCTAAGATGTCCACTGTGTCAAGGTTGAAAAGTGGTATTAAAAGGACAGAAAAGCAAGCTAATAAGAGGTATTAACATGGGAATAAAAGAAATAAAGAAAGCCAAGAGGATTACAAAATACAGAATTCTATTTACGAAGCCATCACCAGGTGCCATGGGAGGATTTCTCCTGACATTGCCCTGACCATATAAATAGTTGTATAAATAGTTGTGATAAAAAATCCTTCTCTAAAACCTCTGTGTTTTCTCTATCAGAGCCTTACCTTAGTCCTACTCCCTTAATTTTTACAAATGATAGTTTTCCTATCCAATCATGTCTTTCCATCTGCCATTAGCACAGACGCCTACTTAAATTCTCTCTTTTTTCTACTATAAACCAAATCTCACCCTCCAGCAGTGGTTCTTCCCTTGCCCTCGTCAATTTCACTTACCTAGCTGGCTCATTCCCACACCTCACCCCTTGGTTCTTCTGCAGTGGGGTTCCAACAAGCCACTTAGAGCAATCTGTGCCCTCTTTGGGATGTTTCCTATAATGTCAATGTTCTTTTTCATTCACTTACAATCTCCTTTCTTTTACCAATGCTCATCTCCCTCCCCCCAAAGCACACTAAGTTTAAATTACATTATTGCAGTCATCTCACTTCTTCCATTCCCATGTTAGGATGTCAATTGCTTCTTTGCCAATTATTTTTCCTCCTCTTAACACCTTCTATATAAAACATATGCTCCAGTCACCCAGAAGAATCTGCTCTACCTTTCCTGTGTGTTAGATATTTTCCCTTGTCCCTCTAGAACCAAATACCCACTTCTTCCTCCTAATCTGGGTCCTGATAGGCAGACCTTAATCGACTGCCTCAGCAAGCTTCATGGCCTTTTAGTTTTAGTTGGGGTCAGCTAATGAGAGTTGCTGGCAGGATCTAATGGGAACAAAAGGGCAGTGTGTGAAGTGTTTATTCTCCTCACTGCTTCCTTTATTATCCAAGTCCTGTGACCTTCTGCTATAGCCACAGATATCTCTGCTTCAGACCTATCCTCTTAAGGTGACACATGCTTCCTGCTCTTGATAGGTAGTGCCAGGATGCTTCACCATCCGTTTTTATCTCTCCTAATCTTGCCTACATTCTCTACTTTCTTCCATTCATCTTGTTGAACAGTGCCATCCCTTTCCTCTCAGCACACTGATTAATCCAGCAGCTTGTGCCAGACATGTATTACCCACCTCACATGGGAAATTCTCAAAACAAATCACCTAGCATTCCATAAATCAAACCTCAAAACATTGCAAAGAATTAGAATGACACAGGTCAGATTAGAAGTCGGTACTAAAAAGAATATTAGAAAAAACCCATATGTTTGGAAATTAAGAGACATATTCCAATTAACCAACAGATGAAGAATAAGCTATAAGTGTAGTCTAACAAAGAGTAAAAATCTTGGAACTTGTCCCATCCATACCCACAACATACACACACACTAAAAAAAAAAAAGGAGAAAACTCAATGAATTGAAACCCAACCACTCTTTTTAGATTCATCAGAGAGTTGAAGTTACAGGGAAAACCACCAGCCAAACACTGAGAGACAGGTGATCACAGAATCACAGCTTGCTTGGAGTCCAAACCAGCTGGAATTGGTAGCAACACTTAAAGGGCAATAGCTAACTGCTGGAGACTGAGCAGGGGCTAGCTTGGGAGATAAATACTCCTGCAGGCCCGCCGTTAGGGGTGCCCAATACTTTGGGAATTGTACCTGTGTAGGTGCTGCAGAATTCAAGGAGCTCCACCAGATTCTCAGGGAGAAAAATCAGAGAAGCATCTCCAGCTTTCATCTAGAGAAGGAGGAAACAACCATTCTGAAATAAGCCCAGACAACTGTGTTCTCTTAATAGCCTCAGTTCTCCCAACCCAGCCAATCTGGGGGACATAAAATACACAAATCCATCTTCTAGCCTCCTTCCTGTCTCAGCTCAGGAGGGCAAAAAAAAAAGTGCTGGTGGCAAACACTTGTGAAGGTCACAGCCAAGGGACACAGGCTCTCTAGGAGACTGAGACCTCCTCATTAGATTATAAAATGCTCCCCCCTACCCCCGCAACTGTTTTCTACCATATCAGTAAGGCTGGATGGTTTCAGCAGAAAGAAAGCAAGCATCAGGGCCAGGCATAGTGGTTCACACATGTAATCCCACCTACTCAGGAGGCAGAGATAGGAGGACCACTGTTCCAGGCAGGCTGGGTATAAAAAGTCAAGAGGAATCTATCTCAAAAACAAGCCAGGCATGTGGCACAGGCCTATTATCCCAGCTATTTGGCAAGTGAAGATGTGAGAACTGTGAGGCTGCAAGTCTAAAATGTGAGCCCCTGCCTGAAAAACAATAAAAGCAAATGTACTGGGGGCATAGCTCAAGTGGTAGAGAGCTTGCCTAGCAAACACGAGGCCTGAGATCAAGCCCCAGTACCATTCAAGCATTAGACCTATTTATAAAACAATGTATAGGGAAACCAAAGAACAATATCTAAGACAAAAACAGAGATACTAGAGGAAACTAGCTTCTGACACTATAGGTACAGCAAACAGTAAACACAACTTAACTCTGAGTTAGTTAAACATAAAACCTTACACTTAAAGGCATATACAACTCAGTTCTTTTCATTAATAGATCATGTCACTTTCTAAAAAAGAAAAAATGGAAATAATTTTTTTTAATTTATGTTACTTCATGTCAAATAACAATAAAACTACATACAATTCAAGGGGATATACTTAGAGCAACAATTAAGGCTTACTTGCCTTTATTAGAAAAAGGGATAAAAATTAATAAATTATTAATCAACTTAATCATAGAACAATAGGTTATGCAAGAAAAGTAGAAGGGAGAAAAACTGCATATTATACACTGACTCAACCAAATCCAAAGACTGATTAAATTAATAGGGTGAGCAGTAATTAATTACTTTGACAAGTCTCTGGTATGACTTATCTTTCAAAAAGAACAAACCTAAATAAACAATATTAGAAAGAAAAGGGCGTAGACATTGCAAACTGAATTATAAGATGGGCTTCTGCCTCTGATAATGGGACAGAGAATTTGGAGCAACCATTTCACAAAGAATGAGTAAAATCTCTGCAAATACTTGCAAATATCCACTTGGAAGCATAAGAGAGCTAAAGAAAGGGCAGTGAATGACTTAGGGGCCAAGATCCAGGAATATTCAATTTGCATTTCAGAAGATTCAAAATAGCTGATGAGAGAATTGTTAAGGCAAAAGATATCACAAAGAAATTGAAGGAAAACAGCTCAGAATTTTCCAAAATATTATAAATGAGCCCTAAATATCACCCCAAACATTTTACTTATAAATAAACACCAGGGCATATCATTAAAACTTCTGAAAATGAAAGACAAGGAAGAAAAATTAACAGTAGCCCGGAAAAGAGAAAGACTAAACTTCAAAGGAATCACAATTGGATTGACAATTTTCTTCTCAATAATAAAAGTCAAAATATAAATGTATCCTATAGAAGACTTCATTGTAGCAGAGTAAGGAAGGGTTGTAAGTCAGAGAGAAATGTCCACTTTTGACTTGAAAGAACTGCCTGTGGGGGCCATGAGTGCAGGCACTGAGGGCAGCCACAAGGAGCTAAAAGCAATTCCTGGTGAAAGCTAGCAGCAAGAAGTATCTCAGTCATGCAATTGAAAAGAAATGAATTTTACCAACAACCAGTGAGGACTCCCAGCCTCAGGTGAGAACCCCATTCTCAGTTGACCCCTTGATTTCAGC